CTCCTTCTTATTGGCCCATCTTCTTTAAGATTCACAGATTTGGTTTCCAAGTGGCCTGATGCTGTTTACGACAGCTTTGTGTTTGAAAATTCAAACTTGAACTACATATTGGGTCAAGGGTGCAATGAATGGCTTCTAGGTGATTCGGGTATGAATTGGGTAAAAGTAAATGCAATACAAGTATATTGAGCATTCTACACATGAACATATCAGTAAGTCGCTACATACATGTAACTGCATTCTAGGCTATCCCCTTAAGTCTTATTTTATGACACCAATAAATATTCCTACTAATCAAAAGGAAGTGAACTACAACAGCGCTCACTGCAGAACTCTTGTTGTGATGGAGAGTGGTGTGCTCAAGTCAAGATTTCGGTGAGTTGAAGTTAAACGACAATGTTTCTGCAATTCATCTCTCTGATAAATGTTATTAAACATCTTTTTAAATACTATAAAGAAATAATGCTTATATTAATCCTTGATTTCCTTCAGATGATTACATCCAACTGGAGGTGCATTACCCTTTGCCACTCAAAAGACTATAAAGACTGTTGTCTTGCACAACAAGTGCATCAAAGACAGACTGCCAATGCCAGGGGTAGACTTTGATATCCGGCCCCAAGGTGAGGAGGAGATCAACAGTCTCCAAGAAAACGGTACAGCTTAACAGATCAGAAAAAGGCTGGTTCAATGCTTTTAACATACAGTGTAGTAGGTTTAATGAACTTGCAAGTAAAGGTATATAAGGTTTTAAATATAATTGTAATCATGCCATTATAATTTGTCTGTTAAACATATGGGACCCGTTTTGCAAAAAAAAAAAATTACGATTAAGACCAAAAACTTTAGTTGAATGTAAAATTTTGCAAAATTAATGATTATGTTTAAAATTGCAGGCGTAAAAATATCTTACTACATTCCCTTTAAAAAGATTAAAGAAATTTTCAATATAATATAAATTAGGAAGTTATAAATAGAATTAAATTTTGTTCTTAGTCGTTAGTTCTTTAATTTTGTAAAACGGGTCCATGATAACTATTGAAACAAATGTAAAAATAATTATAGGATATGGTATTAAATAAACAATTTTCCATTTTAAAATACACTTTCTTTTAACATCCTGCTATGATTTCACGAAGGATTTATACCCATTTTCATTTAATTAAATGTCTTTAACAACAAAACACATGATATCTTACCATTAACCTTATCTGAAGACCAATACATAGTGTATCAGGGAATAATTCCTATCATAATCCGTAAGCCGAGGAAAGCCTTCATTTTGTCGATGGTGTCGGACCAACCCTGTGCTTCAGCGTACGAGTTGGTAGTTGTCCACAAGTACTTGTATCTCAATGGGAAAAATAGCAGAAAATACAACAAAGGGTTTGCATCTGCTGGTATCTGATGAGTGGGACCTGAAGTCTCCACGAAGTCTGGAACATCAAACTCTTCCACAACATCAGTCCAGAAGTCAGGAGGCTTGGCTGTCAAGGTCAAACAATGTTGACTCTGTGTCCTGGTTATCATCGCTGTCTGTCTCACTTCCAAAGGAATGGTTGCTGTCCGAATCATCCTGGTAAAAATCTTATCCAGAAGCAGGGGATTCGTCGTCAAATTCTTTGTCTGTATCTATATCTGACGATTACGAAGATGAAGAACCAGTCCTTCGGATGAGACCGTATATACCGAGGTCCCGTGTCGCAGCAGATGCTTGCACGAAAAAGATCCCTCACTGCTCAATGGCCCTGAGTGCCGAGTAAAGGTCAACATTTACAGCTGTCCACCGGCAAGTGGTGGCGTCTCCATATGAGTGAAAAATTCTCGAGAGGGACGTTAAACAATAAACAAACAAATATTGCCAAGTATACGGAGGACGATCCCGATTGAGTTTGTATACATGTGCTTTTTGGGGATCAAAACTAACTTTTCAACAAAACCATGACTGTCTTTGCGAACATTAATGTATTGTAACAAAAAGCTGATTTATGTAATACATAGAGTACCTTTTAACAAGTGTATCTTTAGATATCAGACGAGGGGGCTTGTTCCCCGAATCTGATATCTGAAGATGCACGAGTTAAAAGGTATTTGATATGTTTTATATCATTGTTCTCAGGTGTTAAGCTACCCATGATCTATCAATTTCACGTTAATAGCACGTAATTCAACTACATATTCTCATGCACCGAATTAGCCATGAACTAGCAAAATTTCATCATACCATTTTATAAAACCAATGAAAAAAGAGCATGTGATTCGAAAAGTATAGAGCACTGTATTTCTTGAACTTTCTACCTCGTCCATTCATATTCTGAACGCCATGGATGACGGTTGTGATTTTATGCTTTCGCAATTCTTATAGACACGGAAACCGAAATTATGAAGGAAAATTCCTTAGATCAGTTAGGAAACCAGATGCAGGTTGAAGATTCTTTGGGAAGTATGACGTTTGATCTACCGGAACTAAAAAATTGAACCTATTATGGATTTCGATATAGGAGATATTTTAGACATGATGGAGACTTGAGTTGAGTGCGTTAATTTCACCAGTCCTGAGGTCGACACGAAGACGAAAAATGAAAGGTTTGTACAAGTGTCCGATTATGAAATTCAGCGTTTGATAGACTCTCAAAAAATATCCTAACACTCAAGCGTTCAAGCTAGGAATGGCGTGCGGCACGGGAAAATGTCCACTTTTGACCGAGATGAACAGCGATTCTCAAAAATTACTGGAAGCAGCGATTTGTGTTGGAATTAGAAAACAAGGAATATCCACCTCGCTCCCTCTAACTACATTGTCTGTGATTTGTTACGCTTTAAGTTTATGAGAGAAGAAAACATTCATTTAAAAAAATGTGCTTGTGTGAATTTCGTTCTGGATTTAAAAATTGACGTGCAAAATTTAGATTTTTTTATGTGGACCTAAGGAAAGGTATACCTTCACTATGTTTATATGTGCTTGTATTTTGCTTATAAAGGCAGCTACTTTTTTTATATTCTTTTTCTTTATCAGTGTAAGGTCAAGGGTCATTGGAATTGTTGCATCATTACCCTGGCGTGTTCTGTCTTCATAAAGCATGGTTGTTAGAGCACAGTTAGTCAGGGTGTTTTAAAAATAAAAACACAGTGGACATCAAAGGAAAAACACCGCAGCAATGATACAAGTACTTTTATCAGTTGTTTGATTTTTTTTCTTTCACCGAGCATTTAAACATTTTCACATGCATTTCATATGACGAACGTAACATTATATGAATTGGTCGATTAGAAAACTTTTTCCTTCATTATGAAAGGTGTTATTTTTTCCCTTCACGGGTAATTTTTTTTTAATACTTCCAATTGGATTAACTCTCTGATTTAAATATTTTCCGAAATTGTTAAAAATGTTTTGTCAAGAAAAATAAGTGATTGAACCGCATGGATTTCGTTCGCGGCTACTATAATAATACACGCTGTTTAACTCAAGATACAAAAAAAAGTAAATTGATTAAGAAAAATTTAATAACCACTTTTTCTTTGCATTGTCTTTGTCATTTCATCGTTTCATTGATAGATGCACAACTGCTCAAGAAATATGTACAGGTAATACATGTAAGTTTAGTGTTGTTTAGTGATCGATAAACGACATTGGTTTTCTTAAGAAATAGAGGACAAAATATTCATTGGATGTAAATATATAAATTCAATTTTCCGCTGAAATATTGCCGACTCGGCGTTAAGCACTAATCAATAAAAATATTCCACTGAAAAATTTATTATCTACTGTGCCCCCTAACCCCCCTCCCCCGGGTCATGATCTAATTTAACATGAATCCACACTATGTACTATTGATTTAACATAACTTTAATTTTTTCTGGCCAAGTGGTTCCTGAAAGTATATTTTTAAAAGAACCCATTAAATTTTCACTATTTTTTTTTCTACAGAAGACGTGTCCCTTCATTTGAACAAATTTAAATCCCAAGGATGCGGTAAGTTGTAATTGGCCTAGCTGGTTCTTGAAAGGAAGTCGAAAATGTACAAAGTTTACAGAAGAATAGACAGACGACGCCGGACATAATGTGATAAGAAAAGCTCACTTGATATTTCAGCTCAGGTTAGGTAAAATTTATATCAGAGCAGTACATGATTTATAAATAAATGTTCAATATTTATTAATACACAAACACTTGTTTCGTATACAGGGCACCCCTTCTTATTTTTACCAGAAGGTAACTAAATCAATTTCAGCCACCACCACTTCAAACCTGTACTTTATTAATTTATCAATCATTAACCTACTTAACAAAACATAGTTCGGGATACGTCAACTTCCGGTTAGGCTTATAGTGTGGGATAAACCAGAGACTTCCGGGCTTTTCATCCTGAATTCTCTGGTTTTATCGTACATTTTAACCCTAACCTGACGTTGATGTATCGTGTCTAAAGTCTTAAAATGTCTTGAGGTAATTTTTGGTTATAAATGAGTGGTTTACAATAAAGAGGCTCGACCAAGGACATCAGGAACATTTTATTAGAAAAAAAAGTATCTTGAAGCGAACTTTGTCATATTTTGATGGTTTTGGCCCCACCCCTCAGGCCCCAAAGTTCCAGGGACCATGAAAATCACAAATTTTGTTCCCCGTCACTCGTATATGCTTTATGCCAAAATTGGTTGGAATTGGATCAGCGGTTCCAGAGAAGAAGCTAAAAATGTTAATGGACGACGCACATCGCACGAAAAAAGATAGCTATAGTTCACCTGAGTGACTTTGGTGTTCTAATAAACAAAAAAAAGTATGCTGAGTAAGACTTCTATAGCAAATATTTTGGTATGCAATTTGTATATCAATGTCCCTTAAAAATGACAAAAACGTTGACTATGAACTTTTTAGACAGCTGGCCTGATATACATATACTATTTTTAATAAAGAAGGAATAAGATAAGAAAGGGGTCTCTTGTGGATGGCTGTGTATAAACATTCTTTTTTCACTTTACTACAACTTTGCGTTCGTGAATAAGTTTGATACAGTTTATAACTCCGTAGAACATGTAGCAGCGTTTGTCGCTGAACTTTCCATCATATTTGATTCGTCTTTAGCAGGTATGGATTCTGTGGTAATATATACTGTTCTCAGTCGTAAGCAATTATTCAATCTCTCTTGCAAATGCGACATTTTGACGAGATTTTCTTTGCGCAGTATGATGTAAATCCATGGATCTATAATGGCGTTGGTGATGGTCATTCGAACAGCTAGTAACTCCTCTGGTCCGTTCTTTGGATTACTGGCACTAGCATTTATCAGCATTCGGACCTAATAACGATTTTCGCCAAATTAAGACAACAATTTTAAAGCACCTCTATGATTGTTAAAAGAAATAGAAATGAGTATGACATATCTATTATAACATGTAATAGATTTCTAGCAATGCCATTACTATACTTATAGAGTAAATGCGTCTATTATCGGACATTCGGGGATCTTCGGACAATTTTTTTCATGTATTACGCTAGTGTATAATACCTTACACTTCCAAGAGATTTATTACTAGTTTCGTTTCAAAGCCGTTCGTATAACTTTATCTTTTACATAATGCATGTGCTTTCGTTTACCGTGTTGTGATTCGTCAAAGTGTCACGCGTGATTTTTCTAGTTTCACATTTGCTGCCTGACGAAATCAACAAGGTCACGACGAATTAGTCATGTAAGTTGATCCACCCTTTCGGCGGTAAAAATAGAACCGCCCAACTAGTTCTTTTGAACAAGAAAGAGCGAAAATGACTTTTTTCTAAAAAAAAAAATGCATATACTCATGTTTATCTTATTGATTTGTTAATCAAAATGTAAGAAAAATACTCTCCAATTAACCCCGACATTAAAATTAGTGTTGTATTTTGCTGTATGGGTTATTTCGGACAGTTTTTCTGACATGTAAAGAGAAGATATCTAAACAGAAAAACACATTATTTCAATGAAATATTTTAGTTAAATATCTTTTAACTAATTGAAAGGATATAAAATTATTTTATTTAGTTTAATAAAATTTGTATTTTAAATATGAATATAAGAGATAGAGATAGAGATTTTAACAGGAAATATAACGGAACTTTTTATAACAAAAATGCTATAAACTACTTTGAAAAACACTACGATACAATGATTCTTGGAATATTCTTTTGCTTCACAATTGAATATGACTTTTATTCAAAAGCCACCCCCCTCTCTCTTTTTTAGCTCACCTAAGGTGAAAGCTCAGGTGAGCTTTTCTGATCATCCGTTGTCCGTCTGTAAACTTCTCACATTTTCAATTTCTTCTCAAGAACCACTGGGCCAATTTTAACCAAACTTGATACAAAGTATCCTTGGGTAAAGGGGAGTTTAAATTGTTAAAATTACCCCTTACAAGGGGAGATAATCAAGAAAAGACAAAATAGGGTGGGGTCATTAAAAAATCTTCTTCTCAAGAACCACTGTACCAGAAAAGCTGAAACTTATGTGGAAGCCTGGGGTAGTGTAGATTCTAAATTGTTCAAATCAGGAACCCCGGGGGTAGGGCGGGGCCACAATAGGGAATCAGTTTTATATTGAAATATATAGGGAAAATGTTTAAAAATCTTCTTCTCAAGAACCACTGGGCCAGAAAACCTGAAACTTATGTGGAAGCATCCTCGGGTAGTGTAGATTCTAAATTGATTGTTCAAATTATGACCCCCGGGGGTAGGGCAGGGCCACAATAGGGAATCCCCATGAGCCTCTTGTTTTATATTTTGGATGTTTTGTGATCGATTCCACCTACAACATAATTGTACCTAATTTAACCCCCTTCTTGGTTTGTATATCCCCCTCATAGGTTTGAACTCCTTCTTTTATACCTTGCCCCACCCCACCCCACCCCCTTTGACATTTTTCAAATAGAAATTTAGAAAAAATGATTATCCAAAAAAAAAAAGGAGAGAGAGAGGGGGGTATGCATTTTATTTGATATCATCAAAACACTAATTTTATTTACTCATTATTTATAGAAATATGCCATGTCGGGTAAAAGAAATTAGGAGCCAATATGACCCTTGGGCTTTGCAAGCCGCGGTAAATGCCGTAAAGGACGGAAAATTGTCCCTAAGAAATGCCACAAAAACCTTTAAAGTTCCAAAGTCTACCATCAACAACCATGTGTCTGGTACGGTTGCAGACCGGGGAAACAGCCCGTTTTCCCCGATGAAGTTGAAAATGAAATTGCTAAAAAAAAAAGTGAAGGATGCTGGAAAAATGGGGTTTGGGATTACAAGAGTACAACTTTCTTTTAACGTAGGACGTTTAGCTAATATAATGAGGTGAAAACCTCATTTAGAAACGGGATCCCAGGAAAAGACTAGGTGGCTGGATTTCAGAAAAGACATCCGGATATATCTTTGCGAACCCCAACCCCACTCAACAAAGTAAAGCTAGAATGCTGAATCAAGAAATGACGAATAAATATTTCTCTGATTTAAATGACCCCCTATTACAGCCGAACTTAATACTTATCCACAACGAATTTGGAATGAGACCATGAAACAATGATGAAACAAATGTCTCTCTGACCCACAAGCCGTCTAGACTTTTGGCTGAATGTGGTCGGAGAAATGTTCCTGGTAGGGTGGAAATTCGCGAGACGGAGTATCTGTTTTATCTTGCGAAAATGCAGCAGGTCAGGACATCCCCCTTTGGTAATCGTGAAAGGACTGACGGAAAAGTCGCTAAATGCTTCCAAAGACTCAGAAGGTCCTCCTGGATGCAAGTACACATATCAGAAGAAGGCATGGATGGAGGATGTCCTATGTGTGACGTGGTTTAAGGACCACTTTGTAAAACACTGCGGCCCAGAGAGACCACAGATTATTATCTTAGATAGTCACAGTTCACATGAGACTTTGGGGCTCATTACAGTGGCGCCGGAAAACATTCTTCTCTTTGCATTGCCTCCTCATACCACTCAATATCTAAATACTTTAACTTCCTTTAATCCTTATAATTAGTTAATGGTAAACCGTTTTCGGACCATTCCAACGCCAATACAATACAATATGTGCAGACCTTATGAGTCAATCACCAAGTCACATGGTTACCAAGTTGGAATGGCCTCGACTTTTTAAGGAAGCTTACGCTAAGTCTTTAAATAAAGAAAACATAACAAAGGGCTTCGAGGTTTGCGGCATACATCCGTTTAATCCTTCTCGCATTCCATCTTCTGCTTACGTGCCATCCCTCCCTTCTGAAAAAAGGTCGCAAAAGAGAAAAACAAAACAAGTTAAGTCTAAGTAGTTAATGAATTGTTATGTCATTGTGCACTGAAAAATTTTGTTGCATTTCAATAATTAGTTAATCAAGGTATGACAGACGTGTTTTAAAGCATGAATTCCGTTTAATTGAATGGCCGATTCCATTTTTAACAAGGGTAGATATGGATAAAATATTTTAAGTAACTAATATTTAAATTTGGTAACAATACCAACGGTTACCTTGATTATTCATAATTTTGACATTTGAAACTTCTTTTAATGATAAACAGAATCCACTGTCCGATATAACCCTTCTGGTAGGGATGGGTATCGGCAAAAATTTCGTATCGTGATATATCATGATTTTTTCTCAAGAATATCACGATAAATCGTGATATCTTTACACACAAATTTTACAACAATTTCAAAGGAATTTCCAAAATTTTTCTTAAAAATATGCTATAAAAACATCACTTTACTTTTTAAATTTTCATTTATTTAATATAAAGCATGTTTGGATGCCACTGTTTAACTGTTTCAACATTTTTTTTACACTTCCTGTAATTGTCATTCAATAGTTTGAACAAATAAATGAATAATTTCCGGAATTTATAGTTATGTACCAAATACCGGTATTTTAGTCCCCATATCACGATACGTATCACACAATAAAAAATCGCGATATACCGGTATACCGATAAAATCGCACATCCCTACCTTCTGGTATACGATATATACCGACAACAACCACTGTTATAGACATTGCACTGTCAGGTACATATTATGAAGAATCAAGAAGTATTCGAGAAAAAAAATACAAAGGGAAACTCCGATTTACGTTATAGAGGAAAGGAAACAGGCCGAGAGGCAAAGCATGATTTAAAGTAATAGGGAGTGTCCCGTGTTTTCCGATAATAGACACGTTTACTCTAATATGCAATAGATTTCTAGCAATGTCATTATTTTACTTATATATGAACTTAAAAAGGATATGAAATATGTACTCGACAAAATAATAAAGCACTTACTGTTATTTCCTTATGTGTCCGTCTCGGAAATAACATGCTTCAAAAATAGGGATATTTAACTTAAAATAACCAATATATTTGTGGAAAATTGAAAGATGACCAGAATAAAATTTCAACCCCCAACCCCTCATTCAAAAATCAAATGGTTGTTCCCTAATTTCAGCTTAACAGGCATCCCTTTTGTTCGGCCATCAGCTTAGTTTGTATCATATACATTTGATAAAATATCATTCATCTTGTCACATCTGTTCGTTTTATACTTCTGGTTCTGTGGTCACTTGAGTATATCATCATTCACCAGAACCCCTGACCCAGGGGCCATGATATTCACACTTTGGGAAGAGGCAACTTTGCTCATCAAAAAACCATGGACATAATTTATTTGATCAATTAACAGGGAGAGAGAAGACGCTTTTTCAAGAATTTACGCAATTTCACAATGATCAATAGAGCCCCACCTTAACTCTAGAACTTCTGGTTTTGGGGCCATGAATTTAAAAAAAAAAGATGGCAAAGGACTCAGGTCCAGGAGTAGAGAAGATTTTTGATTGCATGGAATTTGATGGTTTGTGGCCCATCCCTCAGCGCCCCCCCCCCCCCAAGGGGGGGGGGTTGGACAGGGACCATAAAATTCAAAACTTTAGCCCCTCATTTGACCATAAATGCTCTATACCAAAATGGTTGAAATTGGTTCACCTGTTTATGAGAAGCTGAAAATGTTCAAAAGTTTACAACCTACGAACGACGACGAACGAAAAGATATTGCAATAAGTCACCTGAGTCACTTAACAGGAAACCGTTTCTTGAATTCCAAGGAAACTCCAAGATTTTAATTGTTAATAACTAGAAGAAATGCCGCGCAAGCGCGGGGAATTGAATTTATACCACTACCGACATAAAATATATTGTAGTTTCTACTGACAGCCTACAGGCTTATAGCAGGAAGAAATACTTTGTTCAAAATTCCTGCATGAAGTAAATGTATGTTTCCACCCCCTTTTGTAAAAACTTGAAAAATAACAATTTCTTTAATTGACGTTTATTGTGAAACCTGTTATACTATGTTATGGATATTGTAATTCAGATGCTCTTATTTCATTTCCGACAAGTATGAAGCAGCGAATATGCACATTTTACTGATAAATTGATTTTTGACATGTTGCGTTTTAATCGGTTATAATAAATTATTTCTTTTACATCTTTTAAATCAAGTTTTGATTGAATAATTCAGTGATGACGTTTTATGAAATAAATAAACGATTGCTTGTTGTCAGTCTCATTTAAAATTGTCAGTAACTTAGATCCGCCAACCGAAAACGCTACCGTACTCACGTTTTTGCTATTTCATGACTGTTTATAAAAAATGAAAGTAGACTTTTAATTTAATGTACGATACTTACTATGCGAGTGAAATCTAAATATAGTTTACGGACATCATCTTGTATCTAGTGTATTGTTAGAGGAGTAAGTAAGTACTCTGGTACACCCGTTCCGGAGTTTATTTGCAAAATTGATTAAGAACAAATTACGGTTTCAATACAAATCTTTCCCTGTGTTTTCCTTAAAAATGAAAATGATGTAAGAAATTTAAACTCATGCTTTCTGAATCATTGAAATTCCATGCAGAAAGATCATACAAATCATTTTTCTCACATGACTTTCTAAATGCTTATTGTGATGTCATAAACGTGCATTTTCCCATATTTTCTTTAAAAGTTGCAGAAGACACTAATTTCCAATAGCATTTTTTTTTCAGATAATATCGTCAACAGGCATCGCCCATAAAGATTTTGAGGTATGTGATTTTTCAATGAATTTTACACAATATATCTGAATATTAAAGTGGGCGACGGCTGTGGACACTATTTTCTTAAGGAAAATAACCCTTGAAATGGGTCATTGTGGCTTTTTCTGTTTAAAATAGAAAAATGCACCAAATTAATGATGTCATATATCCAGAATGGTACTCCTTCATGCCATATTCTTTCCTGATTTATCACAGTCATATACTCAACTAATATCTAAGCCAGTTTCAAAACGTTTTGAAAACACTAAATTTTTAGGGCACAATAAAACTAAAACCGTACCTTCCTCTTTACAAGTATACACTGTAAAAATTGTGTTTAGGAAATAAACACTTCTAGTACATGTTTAGATCTAAACGTGTATAGTATTGTGTTTAACAACTAAACACTTATGTCTTAACATGTTTTATATCTAAACGCGTTTAGAAATTAAACACGTTTTACTGTAAAGTGCAGAGTTATCTTCCCGGAAATGACACACATATATTTGAACGTTAATTTGAGCGGCTATCTAAACAAAGAAAACACAACAAGCTAAGGTGATGTATCAATGAGAGTTATGACAACCCAATTCAAGGGATAACAATGACGAATTAGTGAAATACGTGAAAGGGCATCTTGTTGCTGCAATACGTTAAAGGTTTGTATTCTTTTTCTTTGCATTAATTAACCACGATGAGCAACGTAAATAAAGTTGACTTGGGATATCTTGAATTCGTTCATAGACTTGCAGGAGAGGAAATAATATTAAATGTCATTAAAAACACCTATATTTATATCAGTGTAGTTTCACTAAAATTTGAACAATTTTGTTTTTCTAAGTAATGTAAAATATCAGTGATAGTGTACTTTTACTACATTCAGGCTTTCTTTCCTACAGGTACTGTAGTCCAGATCGAACTCAATATACACGTAGCAGAGTACCTGGTGTCACCTTCAAGTGCAATTTTGATGTTCCATAATCAACACTTTGAAACTTCATTTGTTGAAGACTACTGAGTTAATTCGACAGTGTTTACAATATCCTCGTGGATTCGAAATGGATTATTTTCTGGCAGTTATTGATGGGATATAGATTATAATATGTGGTGCTTTGGTACTTCCTGAAAGTTAATAAAATTTGATATTTTTGTGATTGACATGAGGAAAACTCTGCAGCCGATTCAAATTACAATAAATATATATATAAATATACATTTCGTATTTTTAATTTAAAAATTCTTTAATAAAGCCTTTTAGAAATATTCAATGAAGTTTTGATATTAAATTGTCAGCTTAATATTATTTTCTTAATAAATTTGAAGATTAAAAGTTTGTTATCTATGTGTACGTTATAATTATGTGTCAATCTGATTGAATTGTTGGGACTAATCAAATCTATCCAGTTCTGTCTCCTACATTATTTGTGTAAATTAAGTACATGTACATCGCACAGTGTCCATTGTATTGTATAATTAAAAACATAAATTATCCCAACGTTCAGTAGCTTTATGGAAAATAATATTGGTTACAGATTTTGAAAATTTTGACAATTGTGCGCATTTAAAAAACATATACTTCTTGTGCCTAAATTTACGAGAGTGTTTTATTCTTCTGCAGGTACAAATTATACTTATGATGTGTTTAGAATTTAAACACATCTGCTGTTATGTGTTTAGAATTTAAACACTTGTGTTCATGTGTTTAGATGTGTTTAATTTCTAACCACACAAGTGTTTAAATTCTAAACACTTTCTAAGACATGTTTAGGAATTTTACATGTTTAGAAATTAAACATATAAAAAAGGAGGTGACAAGAAAGTGTTTAGAAAAGTGTTTGAATTGTAAACACATTTTTTACAGTGTAGATATTAATTTAATTAAGTTAATAAATGTATTATAAAATGCTCACCATTAAAGGTATCCAGCAAATCGAAAACAAAGTCACAATAGAAAACAGAAAAGAAATAACGAATATCTCATTCCTCCTTCCTTTACGCATGTCTGATGAAACTCTGGGCCTCCTGCATATGGAGACTACGACTGCAATGTTCAGGAAAGAAGTAACAGCCATAACAATTAACCCAACAACGGAATAAATGTAAGTATTAAGCCTATCCAAAAAATCACTGCTTGCAAAGTCAATAAAACACCATGACCCAGGATAAAAGTTTTTGACGGATCCTAGCCCCATCAGGTTTAAGGAAGAAATTATAGCCGTGAAGAGCCAGATTGAAAACAATATAGCATTGGCTCTGGTGTTTGGAGAATGCTTGTAAATATGGGGGTAGACAATTGCCAAAAATCGGTCGAAGGACATTCCACTCACTATCAAAGCTGAGGACATGAACGAAAAGCTGAAAACAAAAGAAATAAATTCACACAATTCTTTTGGGTAATCATATGTAAATCCAGATGCGTAGCGAACTATAACGGCAGGGTATACAAATACTATGCCACATAGGTCTGTCACTGCTAATCCACAAACAAATCTGTGGAAAGGTCTCCACCGATGTCTTCTCGAAGACACGCACAGCAAAACAATCGCAATTAAATTGCCTAAAATACCAAATAAGCATTGGAGTACTGGTGGAACAATGCTTTCGGAAATTTTCCTCTGCAAAGTGTAGTTTACGTTCTGAGAGAAGTTCATGTTGTGCTGATATACTAGGTGCAACTGTGTTGAATCATCAAGACACTATATTCTTTCAAGCAATATTATCTGAGCTGATGTTTGATAAAACAAAATCTATTTTATTGCTAAATATGACGTATTTCCTATGATATAGTCGTCGATTTGTAACAAACGAGTAGGCAACGTTAAAATATTCTAATTTTGTAACAAGGAAGAAGCCAACCAATTGGACGAAAAAAATATTACTTTAAAATGTATGATAAAGGATGAAAAAAAAATAACAAAAAATAATAATAATTAAACTAAAACTGTCTCAGACTAAAACCTCCCTGGGGCAACTAAAACGGGGCTTTCTTTTCAGTTTTAAAAACTTGCTATTTTATTAAATAATTAAACTGCAAATTCCGATGTCCCGACTCTTGTGAAAACGTAATAATTAGTTGAAGGTTGTTACACCGCTAATCCATTGAGCACAATAAAACGGATGATGATAACGATCAGTGATAGTAATAGATCTAAAACAACGCCTGCAAACAAATACAGATCTGTGATCAGGACATAAAACACGGACCTCTGGAAATTCCAGAGATGGGATCAGGTGCCAAGGAGGAGTAAATTTCTCCTGTCGACCAGTCACACCCGGCCGTGAGCTCTATGTATTGATCAGATAGACGGAATAATCCGTAGTCGAATTTAGTATAAAACAAACACCTAATGATTGATATGTTATATATCAAGTAACCTTTGATCAGGTCATATATCCTATGACCATAATCAAACCCTAAGACAAGAATACTCTTCATAAGTTATTTCATTATTATGTTCCTCAAACGAAGTTTGGGAACATATTGTTTTTACTCGGTTTCTTATTATTATTATTATTATTATGTTCCCCAAACGAAGTTGGGGAACATATTGTTTTTACTCTGTTTCTTATTATTATTATTATTATTTTTCTTCTTCTTCTTCTTCCTGGGTACTTTTTTGTCCGCGAGTGATCTCGTCAACTACTCATCCGATTGAGTTGAAACCTTTTTAGGGTTAATAGGCATGTTATGTAGATTTGCGGAATCAAGGTCATTTTGCGCGCACGTGCATGCACGTGCGTGCGCGTGCAATGCGTAAAATGACTAATATACTTGATATAGCTGTAACTTTTATATATTTAGATGAAATGCTTTGATACTCAAAATATAAGGATATATTAAAAGTGTAAACAAGATGACATGGTCAACATGCACATGCATGCATGTGTGCGCACGCGCAAAGCGTAAAATGACAAATATACTTGATATATTCGTAACTTTTATACTTTTTGATGAAATGCTTTGATACTCAAAATATTTATATATATTAAAAGTGTAGACAAGATGACATGGTCATCATGCACATGCATGCATGCATATGCATGCACGTGCGCGCGCGTGCAATGTGTTAAATGACCAATATACTTAATATAGCCGTAATTTTTATATTTTTTTATGAAAAGTTTTTATATTAAGAATATACAGATATATTAAAAGTGTAGACAAGATGATGTGGACATCATGCTCATGAATGCACATGCGCGCGCGTGCAATGTGTTAAATGACCAATATACTTAATATAGCCATAACTTTTATATTTTTTTATGAAAAGCTTTGATACTAAGAATAAACAGACAAATTATAAGTGTAGACAAAATGGCATGGTCATTAGGAACATGCATGCAGGTGCGCATGCATGCAATGCTAAGATGACCAATATACTTGATATAGCCGGAACTTATTTATTTTTTGACGAAATGTTTTGATACTGAGAATATAAAGATGCATTAATAGTATAGATGAGATGACATGGTCATCCTGCACATGCATGCACGTGCGCGCGCGTGAAATGCAAAAAACGATCAATATACTTCATTGCCTTATTTAATGAAGCTTACAGGAAATAAGACACCAAGAGGGTGTTGGGGAGCGTTTGGGGAACATCTGTAACGGTCCCCGTTACAATTAATACTAGTTATTATTATTATTCTTTTTTATTCTTATTTCTTCTCCGGTACTTTTTTGTCCGCGAGTGTTCTCGGAAACTGCACATCCAATTGAGTTAAAACCTTTTTAGGGTTACTAGGTATTTTATGTAGATTTGCGGAACGAAGGTCATTTTGCGCGCACGTGCGTAAAATGACCAATATACATGATATAGCTGTAACTTTTATATTTTTTGATGAAATGCTTTGATACTCAGAATGCAAGGATATATTAAAAGTGTAGACAAGATGACATGGTCAACATGCACATGCATGCACGTGCGCGCACGCGCAAATCGTAAAATGACCAATTTACTTGATATAGACGTAACTTTTATATTTTTTGATGAAATGATTTGATTCTCAAAATATTTATATATATTAAAAGTGTAGACAAGATGACATGGTCATCATGCACATGCATGCATATGCATGCACGTGCGCGCGCATGCAATGTGTTAAATGACCAATATATTTAATATAATCGTAATTTTTATATTTTTGGATGAAAAGCTTTGATATTAAGAATATACAGATATATTACAAGTGTAGACAAGATGATGTGGACATCATGCACATGCATGCACATGCGCGCGCGTGCAATGTGTTAAATGATTAATATACTTAAGTGCCATTCTCTGTAATGACTTGAACTTTTATATAGGAGCTGTGGCACGCATAGTCTCAGAATTTCTCCAAACTCTTTATGATAAAAGTCTTTGATACCGTAAACTCAAATCAGGCAAAAATTGGTTGCTACGTATCATGGTTACCATAGCAACATGTCTTAACGTTTGAAAAATGGCATTTTTCAACATGTTCAGAGTCCCCCAGTTAACGTTTGCAGCAAAGCAAACAAGTGGCAATGACTATTTCTGAAAGTTGAAGGCCTGATGTCTTAAATACATAATAAACATGTTTGGTAAATCAGCTTTTACATACGTTACTATGGAAACAAAGTATTCAAAAGTAATAATTTTGTTCATTTAATTTTACAAAGTCATACACTTAAGAATAAAAACAATTATAGGTTGAAATGCAAGCAAATAATAGACAAGAGATCCTTTTAACATATACCAAGGACGAAATATGATATTTCTTTTAGGTTGACCATGGTTGCCATGGTTTTAATACCACAAAGGGATTTTAAATTTACTCTCTTAGAGTTTTAATCTTATCCTTTCTTTTTAAAAAGCATATTTCTATATAACTGATGATCAATTTTTAAAGGCGTTGGTGTGACCCAAATTTTCACATTTCAAAAAATTCAAATTCAATTCTTTAAAAAGAGCGTTGCTATGGAAATTAGCCGTAAAATTATGCATAAAAATCTGAAAAATATTTTGTTTCCTTGGATACGTACCCTAGTATGTAGATTCCCAAAACTTTTATGATTGATATATATGAACAACTAACTTGACTTTCAATTTTGACTACCACCCAATCTCTTAGTGGATGCAGAAAGTTGGCACTAAGGGTTTAATATTGATATAAAATTAACAAAATCGAACATTTTCCCTTCTTGGTAACCATAGCAACAGTGTTGTATTTTTCAATAAACTTGATCAATATATGATATTCAACTTTAGTTCTACCAGATAAGTACTATTTAAGGTGAGTCAAATAATATGTTTCTAGATTAAAAGGTAATTAAAATCCTAAAGCAGCAAAAAAATATCACTTTAGACAACTGGTACGTTGTTTCCATGGTTACACTGCAAAGTAACAATTAATCCCAATTTTTCTAATGTTGTCGGTGTTGCAAGGTCCTGAGGATGTATATGTGCCAGTCATGAATTTTAATCTATTTCTTCAAGATAGTAGCATTAACCTAATCATAGCAACAGATTTTGCATGGTTACTCTGTGTTACCATGGCAACCATGAACGTTATTTTTAGAATAATATTGCCAATTCCCAATTACTAAAGGTCAAATATTTTTTACTGTTTTTCTTAGGTTGTTGATTGAGTTTGATCATTTAACATCTATCATTTGTGAATATTGAGCGTTTTTCAGCATTTTTCAGCATCTAAAATGTATTCCAAATGTACCCATGGTTACCACTTACTAAGAGATGAATTCTAAACAGTTTCCTTATAGCATAAGTGGCAACAAGGTGTCATATTTTTGGTAGAATTGTTTGTTTGTTTTTCTTAGTCTTTATTAAGGCGTAATAAAGATTCAAAGTAGCTGAAAATCTCAATTTTTTCAACTTTTCTGGCTGTTACCATGGCAACCAAGACACATAGCAACGAAATTTTATTTGATATATGTTTCTGGTGTCAAGTTGTAATAATGGGCAAAGTTTCATCAAAATCGGTGACCATGCGTGGCAAAGAAGTTTAAGTGGTTACAGAGAATCGCTATTAATTTTAATAACTTTTATATTTTTTGATGAAAAGCTTTGATACTAAGAATAAACAGACATATTATAAGTGTAGACAAGATGGCATGGTCATTATGAACATGCATGCAGGTGCGCGTGCGCGCAATGCTAAGATGACCAGTATACTTGATATAGCCGGAACTTATATATTTTTTATGAAATGTTTTGATACTGAGAATATAAAGATACACTAATAGTATAGACGGGATGACATGGTCTTACTGCACATGCATGCACGTGCGCGCGCGTGAAATGGAAAAAACGACCAATATACTTCATTGCCTTATTTAATGAAGCTTACAGGAAATAAGACACCAAAAGGGAGTTGGGGAGCGTTTGGGGAACATCTGTAACGGTGTCCGTTACAATTATAACTAGTTAATAAAATTGTTATGGACAACATAGCAGTGGCATCCACTTTGTCCAAGTGACCACAGTGCAGACTGGTACAGCTTTGTGCCTGCATTACTTTTTTGAAAATCTTCTCTGCTCCTGGGTATTAAGCCGATGAACTAAGTACATAGTTATGATGAAGAAAAGGGTTCTTCCAAAATTGTTAATTTCATGGCCCCAGGGTCAGGAGTTCTGGTGTTAGGGCGGGGCTCTAATGGTTATATAGTGAAAATGC